GTGGGCCTCGCGGCAGAGCACCGGGGGGAGACCTGGAACTGGCTGCTGGCCTCAGGCTGACCCAGCCCCAGCCTGAGATGGAGCCCAGACCCAGCTAGCTCCAGCTCCCGCAGTGCCCTGAGGAAGCCCTCGGCTTGTGACTGAAGGAGAAGCAGGTGTGGGATGATCAGGCTGCCAGGCCCACCCGAGGGTCCCTGGGGTCCCAGACTCAGCCAGGAAGATGGTGATGCGAGGCCATCACGAGGCAGCAGCGGCGGTCACCCCAGCTTGGGCCTGCCTGGCGCAGGGTCGCCAGAGCCGTGCCCCGTCCCCCGAGTCTCCCAGGGTACCCAGCCAGCTCCCCTTCCCCGCCGTCCCCGTGGAGCGGAGCCCAGCCTTCCCACCGTCAGATTTGTCCTCCTCAAGGGCAGAGGGACAGAGGAGGGGTATGTTGCATCCACCAGCTCAGTCCACGCTGGCCACAGGAGCCAGGACCGGCCAGGCTACAGCAGGAGGCGAGAGCTCCGCCCCGTCTGAGGCCCAGCCACTTGGGCCGTCTCCAGCAGCATGGCGCGTTGGCGGGGAGCCGGATGGGAAGCAGAGCCGGGCGAGGGCGCAGCTCTGACTTGGGGCGCCATGCCTTAGCCGCCTGCACCCCAACAACATGATGGTGTGTAATGACACCTCCCTTGCCCTTTGGGCTGGGTGAGGGTCTCCACACGGCGGGCCGTCTGTCCTGTTTTCCTGCCCACCCCAAGCGGGGTCCCACCCCTCTCAGCTATCCCAAGTACTGTCACCCTGCTCACTCGCAGGGGTCCCCAACCCCGCACCCACCCAAGCCGACTCCATCAATCTCCCACTCACTCACATGGCAGGGAGCACGCAGTTTCTTGTAAAAATGGTGTGCCTGCTAATTAGACTGTTTATAACTTGTTTCCCTGGTCGCTAATGATAATTAACATGCAAATTAGCTCAGGGAGGGGAGGCTCTGGGGCCCCCGGTTCATTAGCACGTTAATTACTGTTTGCATACTTGAACATGGCGGATATAAATCACCGAATTGAGTGTAGCGGGCACGGCGGTAATCAGAGCGCGCGTTATGAAAACTCATTTCGCCGTGTTTTTTTATTGCGTGATTAATGATTCCTCGTTGTCAGGCTGATAAACTTCCTCCGTTCAAAGCCACGCAGGCTGCAAACGCCAACACACGACAGGGCCAGCACAGGTCTCTATCCTGGCCCTGCGGGTAACGGAGAGGGCCTGGGCTCCACCAGCCCCTCGGACTCAGGGTGCTGGGACTTGGGGGTGCCCAGCAGCCCGCAGCACAGGCCCCGGAGACCTCCTCACCTCTCACATCCTCTGCTCACTGCCTCGTCCTGTCATCTCGTGGCCAGCAGACCGTAACCCCTGCGGCCCGCGCTCCCAAGGGGAAGGAACGGCAGTGGGGACGAGGGCAGCGACTGCTGGGTCACACGCGGGAGTCAGCCAGGTCCACCTGAGGGGTGGAGGGGCAGCAGAGCCAACAGCAGCCATGAGAGAAGGACGAAGCCCCCAGACGCAGCACGCTCAGTGGGGAGGGGTGCTGAGACCGAGGGGTGCCCGGGGCTTAGGAGGACCCTGTGGGCTGCTGGGTGCGGACGGACCCACAGCGGGCAGGACAGAAGCCTCGATGCTGGTGGGGGCTTAGAAGTGGCCAAGGTTGGACAGGCTTGGATGGGGCTGCAGGCCGACGTGGATGTCTGGCCCTGCAGCTAGGAAGCTCGTGGCCCACGTCGGAGCTCCCAGCCCACACGCACCTGGGAGGTGGCAGGTCTGCGCCCAAGCACTCCCTGCCGCCACGTGGGAGACGGGCGGGAATCCTTGGCCCCTGACTGGCACTGACCGGCGGGTGGGCGGTCCTTCTCTGCGTCTCAGATTGTAAGATGTTGCTGAGGTCTTGGCTGGGAGCCCCTTATTGTGGCCCGTCCACTACGGCCAAGTGGCCCAGTCCCTGCCATGCTCGTCAGAGCGCTGTGGGGGCCTGGATCCCAGCCACAGCTTTGGGTAGCAAGCACAGGGCACCTGCAAAGCTGCCCTGACCTGGGGCACTGAGCACCTCGGAACAGGACGGCCCCAATGGACCCCTCCCCCGCCGGCCTGCCCCCAGGTCCTGTCATTCAGCTGGCGCTCTGGAAACCGCTGGTGCCTCTGAGATCGGGACTCGCCAGAAGTGGCAGGTGCATGGGGGCTACGCCCCCTCTGCATTATTAAGCACAGGTGGAAGAGAGCCCGGGCAGCAGGAGGAGACAGCTCCGACAGGTGGCCCCCGCCCCGCCCGCCGGCTGCCAGCCCGGAGAGCTCAGCTCACCCCAGGGAGGAGCCCTGCCCAGTCAGCGGCCAGAAGCTGCAGCCGTCTCTCCAGGACCCTGGACGCTGCCCCCAGGTAGGGCCTCAGGGCCACAGGGAGTCTCCTGGCAGGGTGCTCAGCCCAGGCGTGGGGGTCAGGTGACCCTGGGCAGTGGGGGCTGAGGTGGGCGAGACCTGAGAACTGGCCCTGGGCTGTGCCTAGCCACTGGGCGGGCCGAGCAGAGACCCCAGCGAGGGCCCAGAGTGCCCTTCTCGTTGGCGCTGCTGACTTCCCTCCCTCTTGCTGAACACCTTCTGAGGAGGGCCGTGCGGGGAGCAGGTGCCCGCAGGAGGTTGGGCCTGGGACAGGGCTGTGCTCCCACCCTGCTCACCACTTCCCGGGTGGTCTGCACTCAGCCGCCTCGATCTGCTGGACCACAGAGAAGGGGGGCTTCCTGCAGGAGCAGGGGAGGGACCTGGTCCGTGCTGGGAGCAAGACAGGCCGCCATGGCCATGGGAGGGTCTGACATAGCTGGCCCAGCTGGAGGCAACATGCGCACATCCCTTCACTGGGCCGTGTCCGACCCCTCACCCAGGCACCCCCAGACCCTCCCGGCCTTTACAGGTCAGCTGAGTCCTGTCCTGCCCACCCGGTTCTCCACAGCAGGGAGTGCAACAGAAACCCCACAGGGTGACCCTAAGGCTTCCGACCCAACCTTCTCCCATGTCTGGGGAGGAGTGAACAGCCACTCCACCCGCCCCTGGGGTGGGGAAAGCGGCCACCCTGCCCGTCCCTGGGGTGGGGAGAGCGGCCACCCTGCCCATCCCTGGGGTGGGGAGAACGGCCACCCTGCCCGTCCCTAGGGTGGGGAGACGGTAGCCACCCCGCCCGTCCCTGGGGTGGGGAGAGCGGCCACTCCGCCTGCCCAGCACCATCCCCCAGCTGCATTCTGCTCCCTCACTCTGTCCAGGCGGCTGCTGGTTGGGGGGACCAGGGTCTGGGGTCACTCCGTCCAGGCAGATATTCCACACCAGACCTGTGCTGCTTTGGCCCTTGGTGGTCAAAATGATTTTCCTCAGATCTGACCTGACTCACTGGGCAGCACTGAGCTGGCAAAGGTGAGGGACGGGCGGGGTGACCACCGTCTCCCCACCCCAGGGACGGGCGGACTGGCTGTCCACTCCTCACTTACCTGAGGGACGGGCAGAGTGGCCTCCATCTCCCCACCCCAGGGGCAGGCAGAGTGAGCCCAGGTGGGCTGCCCTCTTGTGTGAGCTGCTGTCGGAGCTCTGAACCCACTCGGCCTGGAGCCCCTGGACCTTGTCTGTGGCCGTCGAGTACCAGGGCAGAGCCTCGGGGGCCCAACCCATCAGGGCTGATGCGGCGACAGCTCGGCCTGTGGCAGCCACGCTTCGTGACAGCCTGGCTTAATGAGCGTACTTAAAGGCAACAGTCAGACCCGGGTGACATGGTCCTGCTGGCCGGTCAGCAGAGCCTTTGTATGCATCAGGAGCCGAGACGGGGCGGCCTGGCTGACCGCCTGGCTGGCACACGGCCGCCAGCACCCCTCCATGTGATCACATGGCCTGGGTCCCAGAGCCCAAGAGGAAGCAACAGTGCCTGGTCCCTGGGCACCTGGGCACCTGGGCACCTGCCTTCATGGGCTCAGAGTGCCCCCACTCTGCCCTACAGGCTCCTGCACGGGGGAGGCAGGGGCCCTAGGCAGCTGGCTGGGCAAGAGCCAGCCCCTGCCAGCAGGGTGGGCTCCCCAGGGCAGCCAGGGGGCTCCGCGGCACACTGTGGACTCCGCTGCACAGGGTCCAAACAGGGCCTGAGCCCCCTTCCTCCCGTCCTCCCTTTCCAGGCCAAGGCCTCCCGGTAAGGCCCGGCGAGCCCTGGGTGTGGGCAGCACCCCCCCGGCACCCTAGTGTCCACAGAACAGGCATCTCAGCCAGGTGGCTCGGCCAAGTGGCTGCGGCTTTGGCCTACAGGGGGCACCGCTGAGCCGCCAGGCGGCCACAGGTGTTGACGGTCTCCCAGGAGACCAGGGTCTGCCATGGGGACAGGCGGGGCGAGGCTGCAGGGCCTGCTGGGCCCCTCCTCTGCCCTCAGTCCCCAGCTCGGTCCTGGAGGGCACAGCTGGCTGTCTCCAAGCCACAGGCAAGTATGTGCATACCCGTGTGCGTGTCGGGCACAGCGTGCCAGCAAGGACTCCTGGTAGTTTGCAGGTGTGGGGGTGGGGAGGGCCAGGGCTGGCCCCGCCCCCTCCAGCTCAGCTCTGCAGAAGCCACTGCGGCTCCCACCCCCAGGCCCACTGTGGGCAGCCGGGGGAGTGTGGCCCCATGTCTGCCTTCCCAGGGGCTGTAGCTGCCCTTCGCCCCAGGGCAGGGGATGGGCAGAGGTGGCGGCAGAGCCCGGCAATCCCTCCCCAGGTGGGCACTCGGGTGCCGATCTCAGCGCGCCCGCACAGTGCAGGGTGCCTATCTCATGCTGTGGAGGAGGCGGCTGGGCCCAACAGCACAGCCTGGAGGACCAGCTCAGACCCCAGCCGTGCCAACCCTCCCACTGTGGGGTATGCACGGATGTGGGGTCGGGGGGTGGGGGCAGTAAACAGCTCTGAGGCCGGCTGGCTCACGGCCATCACCTGCAAACTACCACACTGCTTGCACAGGTGCTGTGAGGACCGGACTGGCTTATGGCAGCCCAGGAGTTGGGAAGCAGCCTCTGCAGGGAGGGGGACCAGCACCTGGCCCTCGGAGAGCCCCCGCTGGCCACGGCCTTCTACCTGGCCGCCTTCAGCTGCCACGCACCCTCGGCCGTGCACAGCGTGCGGACGGCGCTCGCCGAGGCCCGGGGTGCTCCGGTCGTGGCCACCCTGGAGGCCTGGTGCCGCGGGGACAGCCGGATCCCCACCATCCACTGGGACGGCATGGCAGTGGTCTCACTCACAGGGACGCTGGCCTCCGCCTTCCTCAGCGCCCTCTGCCCGGGCCACCCGGCCGCCGTGCTGCACGCGCTGGCTGGCCTGCTGGCCCGCGGGCGCCATGAGGAGGTGGCCCAGCGCTGCAGCGAGCTGCTGGACGCCTGCCCCTCTCCTGCACTGGAGCTGCGGCTGAGCCGTGCCCTGGCCTGGGTCCTGTCCGGGGCGCGGGCCGCCGATGGCCTGGCCGACTACCTCCGGGCTTTCGCTGCAAGCGCCGACCGCACCCTGGCCTTCATTCAGGCCCACCAGCGGCCCTACCTCCCAGCGCTCATCCGCGCCCTCCAGGACCACATCACAGAGTTGTCGGGGACCGAGGACCACGGCGGCCAGCAGGACACGGACTGCCAGCAGCTCCTGGAGGCGCTGGACCCCAGGGGCTCATCCAGCGCGGCCCTGTCCCCAGAAGCATTGCTACGGAGAGGCCGCTATGCAGACTGCCTGGCCATGTGCAGCCGGGCCCTGCGGTCGGCACCTGTGGGCAGCAGCCAGGGTAAGAGAGGGGCTGCCCCTGTGCCCCCCAGGAAGCCCCGAGTGAGGATCCAGACAGGGCAGAGTGCGCTGTGCTTCCAGGGCTCCCTGGGACCCGCCCACTCATGGGCGCTCCTGGAGAGCCCCACCTCACTGCACAGCGGGCCCCCGGGCGGAAGCTGAGGGTCAGTGGGTCTCTGGACGCAAGGGGTGGTGGCACACACCCTGGCTGCCACTCTGTACTCCCCGCAGCGGGGTCGGCGGCCGAGTGCTGGGGTTCCCAGCTGAACATGAAGGGCTTGGCTACTGAAGCACCTGGCGTCACCTTAGGCATGATCTTTTGGGGGTACCGAGCCCTGGGGTACTGAGAACCCCCTAGAAAGGTGCCTTGGCTGAGCAAGGCCCTTAAACTCCTCCAGCCACTGGCTCTCTTTGTCCCTCCCGGAGCCCTGTGTCCTGCCCGGGTCCCCGGAAGGGACAGCTGCCCCACGTTTCCCAGCCAGAAAAGCACGGTTGAGCCAAGTTACACCAAAACCCGAACAGCCCGCAAGCCCCGCCGCCTGCGCCTTCGTGTGGAGGAGGACCAGGCTGGGGACTCCGGGGGGCGGGGGCTAGGGGCCAGTCTGCCACACCTGCTGCCCCTTCTTGGTCCCAGTGGGCTCCCAGAGACAGAGGCATGACCCCTCCCAGGGCAGAGCAGAACCAAGTGGGCGTGGCTGTCAAGACTGTCCTGGGAGTCCCAACCCAGCCCTGGGCGCCCGGGGCGAGGTCTGCTCTCAGCTCAAGTGGCTCTGAGGAGACACTACAGGCAGCTGTCCCCTCACCTGGCGAAGCCTCTGGTTCTCACCTGCTTTCCCCAAGGGGCCTTGAAGGTCTCTGTGTCCTGGGCTTCAGGGTGCCAGAGCGTAAGAACCACAAGGAGTTCAAGGTCCCCAGGCGCAGTGTGGGGAGACACCTCCCAGGCGGTCCCCCAACACCACTTTCCCCCAGGTGAGCGCCTGGCAGCCCTGCTGGTCACCCGCGCCGCCGCAGCCTTCTTCCTGGACGGCCAGGCGCAGGACACGCTGCGGGATCTGCAGGAGGCCTTCCGCGAGAACCCCGCGGCCGCACGCCGGCAGTTCCAGGCCGTGCTGTCCGCCCGGGACCAGGAGCGCCTCAGGGCTCAGGCACGAGAGGCCGCAGACCTGGCCTTCGCCCGCTTCCAGGAAGCCGTGCGAAAGCGCGCCGAGCTCCGCCAAGACGCGGATCGCGAGCTGCTGGCTCCGGCCACCTGCGCGCTCCGAATCCTGCTTCGCGTGGCGCCGGCAGCGGAGCGACCTGCGCTGGGCGCCCGACTGGCCGAGAGCCTGCTGCTGGCAGGGGACGTGACCGCAGCCCAGGCTCTGTGCGAGCGCCTGCTGCGGCCAGCCGGCCCTGGACAGCGCGCCGCCGGGGAGCGCGCGCCGCTGCTGGCACTGCGCGGCTTCTGCGCGCTGCACGCCGGCGACGCGCCGGGCGCCCGGGAGGACTTCCAGGCGGTGGTGGAGCAGGGGGCACCCCACCCGGGCGGCTGCGTGCGCGCCCTGTGCGGCCGTGGACTGCTGCGGGTGCTGGCGGGCAGCGCCTTCCTGGGCGCGCTGGACTATGTCACCGCGTGCCGGCTGCGGCCCGACGAGGCGCTGCTGGCCGCCAAGGCCTTGGTGCCCTGGAATCAGCGGGGACTGCTGCGGACCGTGCTGCAAGAGGAAGGCCGCGGGATGCTGCAGCGCAGGTCGGGCTGCCCCGGCCAGGCCGCGGGGATGGACGGCAGCGCGGAGCAGGAGGGGTGAGTACCACCGCGCGCGCCTGGGTTGCTGTCCGTGCGATCGTCCGCCAGGCAGCAGAGAAGACTTCCCATTCTGCGGGTCAGTAAACTGAGGCCGAGCCCCCGGGACGCGCTTAGCTCTGCCGGGAGGAAGGAAAAAGGGAGTGCACACGGCCGACCTCCCACCATCGAGTCCTTCCAGCCTTTGCGTGCGAGAAATTGGCGTCCCCAGGCCGCGCCCAGCTGTGCCGCCCCTGCGTGGTGCGTTTCTAGGCTGCGCCTGCTCGCAGCAGAACGGGGGCGGCTCCTGCCACCGCACGGTCCCCTCTTAGTTAGCAGGCCTACAGGGCACCCACATCCCCTCGGCGCCCCACAGGGGAAACCTCCAGCTGGGCGCCTCCATCGGCGTCAGCTGTGCCATCGGCACGCCTGGACCCACTGTGAGGAGAGGCCTGGACCTCGGAGTGTCCTGCTGGGGGTCACCATCACCCCCACAAGCAGCTGAGCTCACCAGGCCCACCGACTCATTGTGCATCTGCAGAAAGGGAAAGCAGAGCCCCCGTGCCCCGTCTGAAGAATGCCCACAAGTGCCCAGGGCCAAAAGGCAGACGCCCTGAGCCTGAGTAGCCTAAGCATCCTCCCTACACCCAGGGTCCCCACAGTCTGACAGGGCGCGCACAGGGAGCCCAGCCTGACCCCCTTCCCTGCAGGGACGCCCGTGGCGTGTACCTGCTGGCCTCACTGCTGCTACAGCTGGACGCAGAGGATGAGGCCGCCCACCTGCTGGCGGCTGACGCCCTGTACCGCCTGGGCCGCCTGCAGGAGGCTCACCAGGCCCTACGGCTGGCACTGACACGGAGGCCCCAGGCGGCCCCGGTGCTGGCACGGCTGGCACTGCTGCAGTTGCGCAGGGGCTGCCTCTGCGATGCCTCCCAGGTAAGGGCGCCACTCTGGGTAGAGTGTGCAGGCACGGCCTGGGGCCTTGGAGTTGCACCGCACGCTCCCCCGCAAGCTCCCGCAGGGCCCCAGCCCCTCCCTTGTGTCCTGCCCCTATGGGTTGTCGTGGGAAGTTGTTGGAGCAGACGCACATGGTGGAGGGGAAACAGGGGCACCGTGCCTCAGCCTCGTCCACTTTGGCAGCTGTGCCTCCGGGGACAGGAGGACCCACACCTGAGCCGGGCCGGCGGGGCATGAGTGGATGATGAGCTGGTGTCCAGCCAGGCTGAGGGTCCTGGCTCCCTGGGACACAGAGTGCATATGCACGGCCTGGGCCTCCCAGCGTCGGGCCGCGGCCAGGGGCGGAGGTGTCCGCTGGGAGTCCCACAACCCTGCCCAAGCAGATTCTGCCCTGGAAGCCCCTCCCTCCCACGGCCCTTTGAGGCCAGGTGTCCACCTGCGTGTGGACATAGGACATAGCAGGGTCCCCCGGCCCTTTCTGAGCTCCAAGCTGAGGATGCCCCACAAGCACCAACCCCCAGCCTTGGCTATGGCCCAGAACAGACAGGAAGGTCCTTGGGCCGGGCACCGAGTGTCCTGGCTCTGGCAACAGTGGCCAGGCAGCAGCGACACCATCGCCCTGCAGCTGGTGAAGAAGCTGGTCCAGGCCGGGGACACAGCCTGCCTGCAGCCCACCCTGGACGTCTTCAGTGCCGAGGACCGGCAGCTGCTTCAGGACCACTGCCACACACATGCCCTGGCCATCCTGCGGGCCGGGCCGGGCGCGACTGACAGCAGGGCCCACACCCGGGAGGCCATCGCCTACCTCTCTCTAGCCATCTTCGCAGCAGGTAGGGGCTGCCCACGCCCGAGGGCCCGGTCCTGTGGCCGGTGCTTGAGGGGATGGGGTGGGGGGCTCTGCTGAGATGGAGACAGCCTTCAGCCACCCCTACACTTAGCCCAGGGTGCAGGGGCAGGACGCAGGCCTGGGGCTTCGTGCTGGGGCGCAGGGAGCGGGAAATGGGAGCAGGGCGCATCCTAGTGAGGGAACCCCCTCCCTGATGCTGTGCCTTGTGGGCCAAGGACACTGGGAGGGGCCACAGCTGAGCCCCGCCCACCCTGTCAGGCACTGGGAGGAACCAAATCTAAGTCTTGCCTATCAGTCATGCACTGGGAGGGGCCTCTGCCGAGCCCCGCCCACCCAGTCAGGCACTGGGCGGACCTCCGCTGAGCCCCGCCCACGCCCTCCCTGCAGGTAGCAAGGCCAGCGAGTCCCTCCTCGCCCGAGCCCGCTGCTATGGCATCCTGGGCCAGAAGAAGACGTCCATGTTGGACTTCAACGCCGTGCTGCGAGCCGAGCCGGAGAACGTGCCGGCTCTATGTGGGCGGGCACTTGTGCACCTGGCCCTGGGCCAGCAGCAGGTACTGGACCCCCGCCCACGCCCCTCTGGTGATGGACTGGCAGGACGCCGCCCCACTCCGTCTGGGACAGGGCCGGCCAAGCCCAGCAGCGGGGCACCCACCGGAGCCCCAGATCATGAGCCCCGCCTGCACTGCCTGTTCCCCAGCCGCATCCTCGTGCACGGTGTTTCAGGGACCCCTTTCCGTGCGCCAGCCCCAGGGTGCTCTGGGTGCAGGACGCGGTGTGTGGGCCGCAGCAGACGCGGGCTGGGCAGGCTGCAGGGCAGTCCAGGCTCCTGGGCAGTGCAGGCAGTGCAGGCTGCTGCACACGCTCACCCAGGAGGTGAGTACTGACTGTGCACGCTCACCCGGGAGGTGAGGACTGACTGTGCACGCTCACCCAGGAGGTGAGTACTGAGGAAGTGAGGACTGACTGTGCACGCTCACCCGGGAGGTGAGTGCCCGGGGCTGTGGCATTCTGCTCACACCCATGGGGCACGTGCTTTGACAGGCTCAGTTTCCCGGACAGCAGAGTTGCTTTTTCTGACTTCCTGTGACAGGCAGCAGGAGCTGCTTCCACGCTGTCTGAGATCAGCGGCAGGGAGCCGTTTCCAGAAGGTTCTAGAAGCTTAGGGTGTTTCTTCAGGCCCAGTATGCTCACTAGAGCTGGAGCTTGTCTGCACCATTAGTTCCACTGGGTGACCCCACCGCCCAGCTGATGCTCTGCTGGCCCTGGGCCGGCTCAACACCCATCCCACTCTAGTCCACCTCGCCCTTCCCTGGGCTGCCCACCCCAGGCTGTGCCATCCCGCTGTGCAGTGCTCCTCCGGGCCGTTGCCCACCTGCGGGTGGGGGCGTGGCCACCTGGGCGGCCAGTCAGGCGCTCCCCCACGGAGGTGCACGAGCCGGGAGCCCACCCGCTGGACGCACTGCCGACGCAGGCCCAGCTGTGGCTCAGCTGTGTTGGTGCCCGCAGGGGGAAGGGAGCCGGTGGCACAGCCAGACTGCTGAACAGGAATTTATCCAATTCACAGTTCACCCAGTTCAGGGGCGGGGGGTCTGACCCAGTCCACCTGGGCCTCACCTGTCGGGGGGAAGTTGGGGTTCAGTGCTTACATGCTCCCTGAGGGAGGTGTTTACACTCAGGGTCCTGAGGGTCTCCCCTGTGTGCAGGCTCACCTGGAGGGCGGGGCGGCTCATGCTGGGCCCACCCTGGCGTGGCCTGCCCTGGGCAGGTGGGACCCACCGTGGTGTGGCATGCACTCCTGCCATCGGGGGCCCTCTTGCCCCCTTCTGTGCACCTGGCTGCCTGAGAACACTCGCCATCCTAAAGAGGCGTCTGGGTGAGCTGCCGACCGTCATGGCACCCACTGGGATGGGGCCACGGGCTCCAGGGGGACCTCAGGGGCACACAAGACCTCAGTCAGCCGGTTGAGCCTCCGTCCCCACCCCCCTGGGCACCTGCCAGGGTGAGCAATGACCTCAGGACAGCCAGGTGCTAAGGGACACCACACAGCTCCACACTGCGCTGGGGCCAGAGCCAGCTGATGACCAGCTGTCAGCCGGGGGAGGGGGCAAGCCAAAGGCGATGGACAGTTGTCAGCCCGAGTGACAGGAAGTGTCCCCGGGGGGACCCAGTGTCCCAGACAGGGGTGACCCAGGACGTGGGATGTCCCCAGACAGAGTGACCACAGACCGGAGGGGGTGTGAGAGCCCAGCCGCCCCTTCCTTTCAGAAAGCCGTGGACGACATCGTGTTGGCCCTGGGGCTGGACGCGCCCTCCGTGGTGCCCGAGCTGCGCTCTCTGAAGAGAGAAGCCCAGGCCCTGCTGGCACGGGGCCTCCACTCCCACTGCCGAGCCCTCCTGAGCCGGCCTCTGCAGCGCAAGGACACGCAGGCCCTCCTGGCCGTCGGAGAGGCGCTGACCCAGATGGACGGGGTGCAGCCCAGTGGCCACCTGCTACTGGCCGACACACTCATGATGCTGGGTACGGCCTCGCCCACCCTCCGGCTCTCCGTGTCCTGCAGTGAGCAGATAGACGCCCTGGACCACAGCCCCATGACCTCTGGCCTGCTGTCCTTGACCTTTGCTCTCTGCCCAGAGGCCAAGCTCCTCCCATGCAGTGCCCCTGCCTCACCCACGGGAGGTGGCAACTGGCCCCTGGCAGTGACCACCACAAAGGCCCAACGTCAGGGTGGGGAGCCTGTGGGCCTCTGCACAGCCCAGCCCCTCACCCACTCCTGCCTGACCCAGAGGGCTCCTCCTGGCTGCCACCCTGTCTCAACGCCACTGCCCCCCAATCCCACAGGCAGCTACGAGGCCGCGGACGCCCGCCTGCAGGAGGCCCTGCATCTGGCACGCCCGTCGGAGGCGATCCGGGCCCGGCAGGGCCTGCTCCGGCTCAAGAAGGGAGACGTGCAGGCCGCTGCGCAGGACCTGCAGGGCCTGGCCGAGCCGGACGCGGGGGACCTGGGCTTCCTGCTGCGGCTGCTGGAGACACCGGAGCGGCAGAGCCTGGCCCAGGTGCCTTCCAGGAGGGTTCGCACAGGACCGCCCAGCAGCCCAGCAGCCTAGGGGTTGGGGCAGCAGGAGAGCCCTCGGGGCGGTCGGGGCACCTCGCATGAAGCCCACCTTACCAGGGCGGGTGGCCAGGGTGGGCAGAAGGTGCTTCTCTGCTCGCTCCAGTCTAATGGCACCTACTGGGAAGGAGAGCTGGGCCAGGGGGCGAGAGGAGCAGGTGCACTGGGGAGAAGCCCAGGGGGGCGGCGGTCAGAGGGACGCACGGAGTCTGTGGGACCCTGGGAAAGGTCTGTGGGATGGGGCGGTGTCTGTGAGATGAGGGGCGGGGTCTGCGGGGTGGGGGCGGGGTCTGTGAGGTGGGGCGGGGTCTCTGCTAGGGGGCGTGGTCCCTGGGCGGGGCTAAAGTGACGTTCTGAGGGCCAGGCCTGGCCATGCAGAGCGCACGAGGCTGTGGGGCTTGCCTGACCCCGGCTCTCCCCACCCCTCTGCAGGCTGCTGCCCACGAGGCCAGTGCTCTCCTGGACACGGGACAAATCAGGCCAGCGCTGGGCTACTGCTCGCTGGCCGTCCTGGCGGGGGGCAGCAAGGCCTGGCACCTGCGTCTGAGGGCCACCTGCCTGGCCCGCCTGGGGGAGTTTGGCCGGGCCCTAAGAGACATGGATTCCCTGCTCCAGGACGGGGCAGGAGACAGCAACCTCCCCCAGCGGGCCAAGGACCTGTGCTCCCGGGGGTGCCTGCTGCTGAGCCTGGGGGACGAGGCCGGGGCCACGGGCACCTTCACCCAGGCCCTCCAGCTGGCACCCGCCCCAGCCCAGAGCAGCCTGTGGGAGTGGCCCGGACAGACCCCCACAGCCCACCTGTTCTTGCGGCACGGGCAGCACTGCCTGGAGCAGCAGCGTCCAGCAGAGGCCTGGGCCGCAGCCGAGAGCGGCCTCCTGGTGGACCCCCACCACAATGGCCTGAAGCGGCTGAAGGCCAGGGCCCGGAGAGAGGCGGCCTCGGGCTGCAGCCTGCACTGACACGGCGCAGGACTGCCTGGTGTCTCCAGCCCAGTGCCGGACATGTCCACCTGCAGGATAGCCAGCCCCCTGGAAGCAGAGCGAGAGTCATCCCGAGGTCAGGGTCCCGGCTCTGGCTGCTGCAGGCACCCCAGGGCCTCGCGCGTTTGCTGGGCACAGAGCGGCCTTCCCTGCCACGTCGTCACTGGCTGTGCCCCTTCTCCGTCGAGAGGCCGGGAGGGGCCAGGAGCGAGGCCTTGCCTTCCCACCTGCCATCCCCTGTGCCTGCTGACCCTCAGCCCTCCACCTCTGACCTGGGCTCCTCCCCCTTGGTCTCGGGCCGCAGACCACCGCCTTCCCTGGTGGAGGCTGTCCCTCCCAGGGCAGAGGGTGAAGGGCCCAGGTGCCAGCAGCATAGTGCCAGCCACCGGCAGGACCAGGGGCCAGGGAGCCCACCGAGGACTCTGGCCTCATGTCCCCCGCCCTCCCCATGCAGAACCCCCGTTTTGCGTGGAGTTTCCTGCTGCCCAGTTGTCCCTCCCCCGTCCATTGTCTGTCCTCCCGTGTCCACCTCAGCACTCCTGTGCGTCACACACCTTGACTGACAGCCCCGGGAGCCGGGGCGGGACCAAGGCAATGCTCAGGCAGTGAGGGGGCAGGAGTAGGGGCCTGGCTCCCCCTCCCAGGGAGGGGCGTCCTCACTGGTCCCCGCCAGGCCTGAGACCTGTCCCCCACCCCCGGGAGTCCTGCCCTCTCCCTCCAGGAAGGCCGTGAACGGACCAAGCTCAGACCCCAGGGGAGGAAGCCAGGAGGTGGGTTATAGAAGGGCATTCAGAATCCTTGCAGCTGACTCTCCCCTGGAGGTGCCAGGAGCAGTTGATAAGGAGCTGAATGAGCAGGCTACCTCCTGGTCGCAGGCTGAGAGAGAACCTGCTGGAGGAACTCGCTGTTTTGGGGAGTACCTTGCTGTTGAGATGTAAATGGCTCAAGCCCCTCCTCTGCGGAGACCTGCCTGACAACCTTCCCTTAAAGTCCGGTGCTGTTCATAAACTCGGGCTATTGACCCCCAGAGTCGCGTGTGTTATCGGCTCCGTGCACCAAGTCCATTGCTGTGGGACAGCGACAACACTCTGAATTATTTCAAATAGCAATGAAATTATCCAGGTTTTGTCTCTACCTTTGCCAGTTCTATGGATCCTACGGAATTCACAAAGTCGAGGCTTGGTTTCAGAATTTTGAACAATCTAGAGATGCAAATACGTTGGTTAAAAGTACATTTGACCGGGCATGCTAACGAGTAGGTCAGATTTGATAGCAAAGGGAAGCAACTTCTCAGGCGAGAAGGCGTTAAATGAACTCTCCCCAGCAGCGGGTCGTGAAGAGCCTGCTCCCCTCCAGGTCCCTGAGATCCGCCCAGACTCCATAATGTCAGCTGTTGACTCCCAAGCTATCCACCAGAGACTTTCAGCCGTTCTGCTTGCTCAGAACATTAATCTGGAAAGGCTTTCTCTCGCTGCATTCAGATGAAAATTTAGGTGCGCCACTCACAGACTCAACTTAATTCAAGTAAGAGGCTCCCTTACAAAGTTCTCACAGTTCAAGATGTTGTAGCCAATTTAACTATCTCAGCACTTTTAACTTATAGCCCGCAGACACAAAAAGATACAACAGTTTAAAGACAGGACAGACACACGGTCAACAACGTAGGCCCTCTGAAAGGAAAATCATCCAGAGGGGACACGCCCACTCCTCCTTAGGCAATTTGGTGCCTGACCTGGAGAGGCCTTCCGGCCCACTCACCAGGCACAAACGCCTGACCCATTCTAGTCTTCCTGCCCCCTCACTGGACGCAAAAACAAAAATCAGCTGAAAAAGGAAACAGATCAGAATGAAAAAGGAAAAATAAGAAAAAATTAGCTGGCAAAGAAAAGTTAGGTGGCACTCACCCGACACACCTGGGGATCCCGGACGAGCCCCCAAATGTTGTGCCAGATTTTGAGATCCCCAGAAAGTCACTGAGTCTGAAGTCGGTGCTAAGGCATAAAGGGCAGTTTATTCAGGTTAGCCCAGGTCTCCCAGCCCCCTCCCCCAGCAGGGCTGGGCAGGTGCAGCCGAGGCTGCTGCAGGACCCGCAGGGCAGGAAAAGAGTGAGGTTCAACAGCAGAGGGTTCCTATACATTTCAGGCCAATAATTATACAGTCATGATTGGTCAGTTTATCTGTTAACTTTCAAAAAGAACAAGTTGGCAGGCTCGTGACCTGCCAGGTGTCCGCCGGGTGTCACGTAGACCGTCAGGCCGGGAGTTCACACAGCCCCAGCCGAGCTAGTGAGGCAGAATCACAAAGGCAGAAAACACCTGGGTTCTTCCGTGTCAGGCATGCTTCCCCACACACTCTCTGAATGTGCCTCACTGCTCCCTTGCCACCTCATGGCTGCCCAGCCACTTCCTCCCTTCCACTGAGATGACGTCTCTGCCCCTTGCCCAGGTCCACAGCCAGGGGTCCCTGCACCGTCAACATCCCTGCAGGTGCCTTCCTCCGGGAGGGGCAGCTCAGGGTACCGTGGGGTCCTATGGGCCCATGCCAACGCCAGCGCCCTTTCACTGCCCAGTCCACAACCTGGCCTTCTAGGAAGCTGCATGAAGCTGCAGGTGCTGCCACCATGGCAACCACCCAACACAGCTCCGCCCTCCACAGCTCAGGGCTGAGCTCTGCCGGACACCCTCCCCAACCTGTCCTGCGGGCACTGGCCTCAATCCAGCTAGCTCCACAGGGGCACAGGTGACAGTATGGCTGGCTCGACATGTCACTGCGTGCTCTGGGCCATCAGTCTGGACCCCCGCCTGGCCCCACCCCCAGTTCAGGATGCCCCCACCTTCCTCCCCAGGAAATGCAGAGCCAGGAGTGGTGGCCACAGGTGTACCCCCTGCGACTCAGAGAGCCTGGGAGCAGGAAAGGCATGGGTCCACGTGACAGAGGCCAGCCTGGACACACACTGACCCGGGGCAGATGGGGGGAGGTGTCCTCCTGAGCCCCCTTCATGGCTGCCCCCGGAACCTGCATTCGGCTGCACCTTACACCCCCCACACCAGCCTAGAGTGGGCGGGGCTGAGTCACTGGGCCCCGCCCTTTCCCCTCCTGGGCTGAGCACCCACCCCCAGGTGCAGGTGCTGGGCCTGGCTTGGGCTCGAGGGGGGGCTGCATGCAGGGAGGCCAGGGTGGGCCTGGCTTGGGCTGGAGGGGGGCTGCATGCAGGGAGGCCAGGGTGGGCCTGGCTTGGGCTGAGGGGGGGCTGCGTGCAGGGAGGCCAGGGTGGGCCTGGCTTGGGCTGGAGGGGGGCTGCGTGCAGGGAGGCCAGGGAGGTGGAGGGGGAGGCATCCAGTCTGTTCCTCCAAGGCGTCCCACCTTGGGGTGGAGAAGCCCGAGGCCACCCAGGGGACTTGCTGACCCCTGGCCTCCCCTGGCCGTCAGAGAAGGAGCATCTGGCTGGACCCAGGCCCGCTCGTGCCCCCCGGGAATGGCAGGGGAGGGGAAGGGATCCCAGCCTCTCACTTCCCCACTGCTCCCTCAGGACTGCAGTCCTGACCTGCAGGGGCTGAGTCAACGCCTCCTCCCCGCAGGGCCCACCTGCAGGTGACACAAAGCGTCTAGCAGCAAGGGACTCCCTGGGTCACACAGGAGGACAGGTCCAGGCCAGGCAAGACCCGCCTGTGCAACTCTGCAGGGAATGCTGGGTCTCAGCCTGCTCTGCCCAGCCCCGGCCCCCATAGCCAGCAGGTCAGGATCCGTGGTTCCCACAGTGACTCCTGGAGGACGTGCTCCAACCCCAGGTGCCCAGCCAGGGCCCCTGTCCCTGAGGGCTAGAGTGTCCGTTTCACAGGCTTCCTCAGGAGCTGAAAAGGACTCAGGGTGGAGCCCCCCCAGGCAACCTCGCCCTGCCTCCAGCCACTTGCATCAGGCCCCAAAGCCCCTCACCCATCCCAGGACCCTCCCAGGCAGTGCTGGCAATGAGCACAGCCAACTTCTCCCTTCAGGCTGCGTGTTCAGGGACGAAGGGGACACGGCCGAGGCCCAGGGCCAGCACCGCAGGCAAGGCAGCCGCTTTTCCCCCCTCCCCCGCCATAGAACGCGGCCTGAGCAGGAGGGCTCCTTCCATGGAACCCAGGCGGCATCACAAAGGGAGCCAGAAGCCAGGAAGCAGCCCGGCCCCACGTGACGCAGCCACCCACGGGCCTCCCAGGGAGGCCACCCCCTTGCCGGCGGGCACAACTGAAAACCACCCTGACCCAACCTTCCCTCCCGGAGCTGAGACCAGAGGCTGAGGTCGGTCACTGCAGGAGGCCAGCAGAGCTCCTGCACCAGCCTCACCCCTTCCTGGGTCCCCCCAGCCCCACCCCATGTGGCTGTACTGGGCCACTCGGACCCCCTGCTCCTCCTCCCACAGAACGCTCCGGTGGCCTAGGGTTGTACTGTGCCCATGCCTTTCTGGCTCCTCAAGTGCCCACAAGTCAGAAGGAAGTGAACTCACAGGATGCAGGGGTGAGTCTGTTTCTGCTAAGACAAGAAGGGGTGAGGTGAGAGGACACCTGTGCAGGAGTGAGGAAGGTGAGGTGAAGCGAGTCGTCCTGTGCAGGGGTGAGGAGGGGTGAGGTGAGGCGAGTCGCCCTGTGCAGGGATGAGGAGGGGGTGAGGTGAGGTGAGTCGTCCTGTGAAGAGGTGAGGTGAGGTGAGGTGAGTCATCCTGTGCAGGAGTGAGGAAGGGTGAGGTGAGGTGAGGTAAGGCGAATCATCCTGTGCAGGGGTGAGGAGGGGTGAGGTGAAGCGAGTCGTTCTGTGCAGGGGTGAGGTGAGGTGAGGTGAGGTGAGTCGTCCTGTGAAGGAGTGAGAAGGGGTGAGGTGAGGCGAGTCGTCCTGTGCAGGGGTGAGGAGGATGAGGTGAGGTGAGTCGTCCTGTGAAGAGGTGAGGTGAGGTGAGGCTAGTCATCCTGTGCAGGAGTGAGGAAGGGTGAGGTAAGTTGAGGCAAGTCATCCTGTGCAGGGTGAGGGATGTGAGACCTGAGTCACAGGTGCTTCCTGATTGACCCATTCATTCATTCATTCATGCTGCATTTGTTCAGTGGGTGTTGCCTGATACCCCGGGGAAAAGTCCTGGAGGTCCCTAAGAGGGAGCGAGAAAAGACAGGGGCCAGGGAGAGGCGAAAACACACACACGGGAGGGCACACACACGGGAGGGCACAGACATGAGAGGGTACAGACAGGGAGAGCACAGACAGGGAGGGCACAGACAGGGAGGGCACAGACAGGGAGAACACAGACAAGGAGGGCACAGACAGGGAGGGTACAGACAAGGAGGGCACAGACAAGGAGGGCACACACACGGGGAGGGCACAGACATGAGAGGGTACAGACAGGGAGGGCACACACACACGGGAGGGCACACACAGGGAGGGCACAGACAGGGAGGGCACACACAGGAGGGCACAGACAGGGAGGGCACAGACAGGGAGGGCACAGACAGGGAGGGCACACACACAGGAGGGCACAGACAGGGAGGGCACACACAGGGAGGGCACAGACAGGGAGGGCACACACACAGGAGGGCACAGACAGGGAGGGCACAGACAAGGAGGGCACACACATGGGGAGGGCACAGACATGGGAGGGCACAGACATGAGAGGGCACAGACAGGGAGGGCACAGACAGGGAGGGCACACACACATGGGAGGGCACAGACATGGGAGGGCACAGACATGAGAGGGCACAGACAGGGAGGGCACAGACAAGGAGGGCACAGACAAGGAGGGCACAGACAAGGAGGGCACAGACAGGGAGGGCACAGACAGGGAGGGCGCACACATGGGGAGGGCACAGACAGGGAGGGCACAGACAGGGAGGGCACAGACAGGGAGGGCACACACACATGGGAGGGCACAGACATGGGAGGGCACAGACATGAGAGGGTACAGACAGGGAGGGCACAGACAGGGAGGGCACACACACATGGGAGGGCACAGACAGGGAGGGCACACACACGGGAGGGCACAGACAAGGAGGGCACAGACAGGGAGGGCACAGACAGGGAGGGCGCACACATGGGGAGGGCACAGACAGGGAGGGCACAGACATGAGAGGGCACAGACAGGGAGGGCACAGACAGGGAGGGCACACACACATGGGAGGGCACAGACAGGGAGGGCACAGACAGGGAGGGCACACACACATGGGAGGGCACACACACGGGAGGGCACAGACAAGGAGGGCACAGACAGGGAGGGCACAGACAGGGAGGGCGCACACATGGGGAGGGCACAGACAGGGAGGGCACAGACAGGGAGGGCACACACAGGAGGGCACACACATGGGGAGGGCACACACACGGGAGGGCACACACAGGGGAGGGCACACATGGGAGGGCACAGACATGGGGAGGGCACAGACAGGGAGGGCACAGACAGGGAGGGCACACATGGGAGGGCACAGACAGGGAGGGCACACACATGGGGAGGGCACACACATGGGGAGGGCACACACAGGGAGGGCACACACAGGAGGGCACACACATGGGGAGGGCACACACAGGGAGGGCACACACATGGGGAGGGCACAAACAGGGAGGGCACACACATGAGAGGGCACACACACGGGAGGGCACAGCGTGCAGCACACGCCTGAGCCTTCTGGATTGACGATGGAGGTCAGGGTGGGGCAGGGCACCTGGGGGTCCCGACACAGGCTCCCCCAGGAGGGACTCTGAGCACAGAGCAGGGACCTCTGATCCCCAAGCACCATGTCGCACCTCCAAGCTGAGGGACCTCTCCAAGGGACAGGGGATTTGGGAGGTACAGGGGTGAGACAGAGAGGCAGGTTGCCTGCACATGGACTTGGAAGCCCTGGGCTGGAGGCCACAGGAGGGCTCCGTGGGGCAGGGCAGCAGGGCACCCTGGGGTCGTCCGAGGGCGGGGGGGGGGTAGCATATGAATGTCAAGGAAATCCCTGGGTACTGCTGGGAGAGAAGCTCTTGCCCAGGAACAGGAAGTGGAGAGAGGTGGCTGACTGGCAAGGCAGAGCAGGAGGGAGGGCGTGAGCCTGGGCAACATGAAGTGCAAATCCGGGAAGTGGGGCATCTCCCAGCCCGGTGGGCACATCCCCTCAGGGCAGGCGCTGGCTGTGGTGCCACCCTCCTGCTGTGGTTGGGTCCATGGCTGCTTCCCCAGGGCTGGGCTAGGAGCGCCAACCAGGGGTGTGTGCACACACGGCTCCCACGTGCACACACGTGTATGCTTACTCATGAGCAGGTTCACACACGTGTGCACACACTAGGGCATGTTGGTACCCACGCCAGCCCTAGGCTCCAACAACAAAGTTGGGTGGGAAGCCCAGTGGCCCACCAGCGCCCCCTACCAGCGCCGGGGCTACAGCTCCAGGACGCCTTGCAGGGAAGACCCCTTAGAGTGCCCACCCAACCATGAGTGGGCATTCCTGGACCACTCTGTGCCCCCTGCAGAGGACTCCCCAAGCAGAGATGCTGGCCAGGCAGGGCTGGGATGGGGAGGGAGCCGGGGACAGAATGCTCCAAAGCTCCGGGCGCCGGCTCCCAGCCAGATCAGCCCCTCCAGCCTCGGCCGCCCTGAGCTCCCCTTGCCTCCTCCAGCCCTGACCCTGCCCGGCCTGCTGCTCACTGCTGGCCCTTCTGTGCAGAGCCTGGCTGATGGGGAAGCCGCAGAGCCCCGTGGGGCCTGGACACAGGCGCTGGCGCTTCCTGGAGGGCGGGCTGCTGCTGCTGCTGCTGTTGCTGGCCGCTGCCCTCGCCGCCCTGGGCGTCCTCTACAACAGAGGTGAGTGGCCGCCGCTGCCCCGGGCTGCTGCGCCAGCGGGAGCCCGCTCGCGCCCGGCTGCCGGGAGGGACACCGACCTGCAGGGTTCCTCTCTGGCGGCGGCCGCCCGCTCCGCTCCGCCGACTGCCGCAGCCCAGCCCCCGCCGCCCCGCCGCTGCCATCCCGGGGGGCTCACCTGGCCGCCGCCCAACGGGGGAGCCCCGCTGCCGGCCACCCCGCCGACCTTGCCGGGGGCGCCACGACCTGGCCTCTGCTCCTTGCCAGACGGCAGGAGGAGGCCGGGCTAGGCGCCCCAGAACCCCCGCCCCCAGTGCGGACCGACAGGGAAGGGGCAAGGCACCCGTACCTCTGGCAGACCGGCCCCCTCTGAGCTGGTGTGTGCAGCCAGGCCAGCTCTGCCGGTGGTCGCGGAACTGCGTTTAGAATGGAACTGCAAATGCCATTGGAGGTGGGGGTAGGGACCCTCCCAACCTCCACGTGGTCTCTGGGGTGAGGGGTCTAGGGCAGAACAGGCGCTCACCCCAACAGCTCCCGTGGCAGGGACACCCTGCAGGACACGGCTGCCCGCCCCCCCAGCCTCTGCCTCCCCCCGCCCAGCCGGCTCACAGGCAGTTGTTAACCGTTCGTTTCTATGTATCTCCTTCTGCTGTAATTTTGTCCTTCACTTGAAATTTGTTTGGAATCCTTTTGTTATCTTTGAATTTTCAGGGTCCAGGGACCACAGCAGCCCCGGGGAGCACCGGGGAGAGGGGACAGCCCACGGGTAGTTTGGGGTCACCTTGTACTGGGCTATGCTGTGCTCGGCCACCATCAATCCAATGTGTGTGCTCCTGGGCGGCCACTGGGGCTGGCTGCAGCGTGGGCCACACCCAGCAGCTTGCACACCTGCGCCCTGCCCATCTGCCGGTGAAGGCGTGTTAGGTCCCGGGTTATCCGCGCAGTCCTCAGGTGACGTGTTATAGCCCAACCCACACCTGCTCCCTGACATGGCCTGCTCTAACGCGGAGCAAGCGTGCGTGAGTTTAGAAGCAGCCCTCGCGGGCACCGTGCAGCGGGCACTACGTGGTGGAGACGGGTACCCTCCTGCCCTGTGGTGTCAGGGACGCTCAGTCGCGCCTACCTGCTTGTCGCTGTCACGGTGTGTTTGACCTCCAGCTGTCCTGCGCTCTGCCCGCCTCTCCCAGAGGGCCCATCCGCACACTGTTCTGTTGCTGTTTTGCCACCTAACCCTCCACCTTCGCTGGAACTGACACCTGATTTCCACGGGGAGTGTGGACATCACACAGTTCTAACTTTTAGATGCTCAGCTTAGTTTTTTTTCTATTTATTGGCTATTGGAGTCATGTGTGTGTGTCCCCCACAGCCAGAAGCAACTTCTCCGTCGGGCCGTTCTGTGGTGTGTCACAGCCGGGCTGGGAGAAATGCCACAGGCCTTTCCTCTCGCCGTCAATATTGGTAATTCCTCATTTGAGGAGTTTCCCTTTTTCTATATCCAATTATTTTTTCATCTCTGTTTTTCCTTTTGTCAAATATCGACTTTGAGCTCAGATGGGCCAGGGGTCGCCAGCTCCCTGCTGACGCAGCCTGAAGCAGCAACAATGGCTCCAGTGCTGACCCCTGCCCCGGTGGGAGACCCGGAGGAAGCTCCTGGCTCCTGGCTTCAGCCCAGCCCAGCCCTGGCTGCTGTGGCCGTTTAGGGAGTGACCCAGCAGATGGAAGATGGCCCTCTGTCTTGTTTTCCACCCATCTGTCCGGCTGGCTAGCTATCTCCCTTGTTTCTCACTCGCTCGCCCTTCAAATGAACCTTCTAAAATGTTCATCAAGATAGGAGTCAGCCCCGAACCGGTCCACTGCACATCCTGGCAGACACAGGAAGCAGGGCTGGGGCCAGCCCAGCAGGGATTACTGGGGGTCAATCTGACTCCCCATGGCGTACATGAGAGCCGAGTGTGTGCTGGGCAGGGTTGGGCCGGGCTCTAGCACCCGTTGGTCTGTGTAAGCTGTGACCTAGCCATTGCAACTATCAGTGTGTGCAGGCTGTTGTGGGTGACAGAATGAGCTGCACCCCACACTGCGGGCGCCCCCAGGAGTCAGGTCTGGCATCATCTCAGATGAGAGTTCTTGGAGGGTCCCCCCAGCCGCACCGCTGGGCTCAGAGCTCCGACCCCGGGAGAGGCAGGACCGTGATCTGACGGCGGAGGGCGTGCGTCTGAACGGGGCTCCTCCAGTACTGAAGGTGGCACGGCGGCCAGCTTACCCAGAAGCACATGGAGCATGCCCGAGAGGGGGCAAACAAACTCGTTGACTGCAGCTGAGAAGCCTGACGGCAAATTCTGGGCGAATGGAGACTGAGGCGGACTGTGTCAGCCAGCGGACCTTGGAAGGGTTTCTCATCTTCGGAGAATGAAATTGAAGCATGTCAGAACATCGAAACCACTTGAGCAGAGCCCTCAGAGCATGCGCCACATGGGCCCTGGGGTGACATCCGGGCCGGCCGCCGTTCCGGGTGCTGAGGCAGTTGGGAGGCTGGGCGTGGCTGCTGCCGTGTCTCCCCTTCCCCAGACACAGGTGGAAGATAAGGAAGGTGTAGAAATAGTGGTTTAGGGCCCGGCGGCGTGGCCTAGCGGCTAAAGTCCTTGCCTTGCACGCCCAGGATCCCATATGGGCACCGGTTCTAATCCCGACAGCTCCACTTCCCATCCAGCTCCCTGCCTGTGGCCTGGGAAAGTAGTCGAGGATGGCCCAAGGCTTTGGGACCCTGCACCCACGAGGGAGACCCAGAGGAGGTTCCTGGCTCCTGGCTCTGGATCGGCATAGCATCGGCCATTGCTCTCACTTGGGGAGTGAATCATCAGACGGAAGATCTTCCTTTCTGTCTCTCCTCCTCTCTGTATATCTGACTTTCCAATAAATAAATGAATAAATCTTTAAAAAAAAATAGTGGTTTCATCTGCTTTCCCTTGACCCTCCCCACTCTAATCAACTCTACAAACGTCATCAAAAATAAAATTTAAAAAATGTTTAAAAAAGCTAGGTGTCCGTCATGTATGGGACGCCACACCTTGGAGCCTTCAGTCAGGCACCAGTGCAGCAGCACTCGAGTTTCAGGCTTTGTACCCAAACGTCTGGCTTTTATTATTTATTATTATTTAAATGAAGAGGCAGATTTACAGAGAGAAAGATCTTCCAGCTGCTGGTTCACTCCCCAAATGGCCAGAGCAGCCAGAGCTGAGCCGATCAGGAGCCAGGAGCCTCCTCCAGGTCTCCCACTGCTTCCCCAGGCCGTAGGCAGGGAGCTGGAGGGGAAGTGGAGCAGCCGGGCCAGCGCCTACAAATGGAGGAGAGGCGACTGAGCCATCACCCGGCCCCAGCCTTGTTTACAAAGGACCCACTGTGAGTCCCCGCAGTGCGCACGGCTCATGAGCCGAGCCCTCTCTGTTGCAAGCATGACAGCGGGAACGCACTGGAGGTCACGCGGGTCTCGCGCCCTGCGGCATCAGGCCTGGGCAGGTCTGTGAAATGTAGAGACAAAGAAAGGGAGGGAGCGGAGGAAAGAGATCTACCACCACACTGCTCTCCCCGACGGGCGCCCTGTTCCACCACGCTGCTCTCCCCGACGGGCGCCCTGTTCCACCACGCTGCTCTCCCCCTGCCCTGTTCCACCACGCTGCTCTCCCCCTGCCCTGTTCCACCATGCTGCTCTCCCCCTGCCCTGTTCCACCATGCTGCTCTCCCCCTGCCCTGTTCCACCATGCTGCTCTCCCCCGACGGCCACCCTGTTCCACCACACTGCTCTCCCCCTGCCCTGTTCCACCACACTGCTCTCCCCCTGCCCTGTTCCACCATGCTGCTCTCCCCCTGCCCTGTTCCACCACACTGCTCTCCCCGACGGCTGCCATGGCCAGGGGTAAATCCACCCAGGCCTCCCGCAGGGCTGGCAGCAACACAGACACTCAAGCTTCCCAGGTGTCTTAGCAGGAAGCCTGATGTGAAGCCGACTGCCGTGGGGGGCCGGGGGTCCTGAGCAGCTGCTGACCCGCCATGCCACCACTGGAGCCCGCAATGACACAGAAAGGCTGGGTCTTGCTGTACCTAACAGACACAGGGCATCCTAAAGAAAGTATACAGATGTAGGCCCAGTGCGGTAGCCTAGTAGCTAAGGTCCTGGCCTTGTGCATGCCGGGATCCCATATGGGCACCAGTTCTAGTCCTGGCGGCCCCACTTCCCACCCAGCTCCCTGTTTCTGGCCTGGGAAAGCAGTCTTGGGACCCTGCACCATGTAGGGGACCCTGAAAAGGCTCCTGGCTTCAGATCAGTTCAGCTCCAGCTATTGTGGTCACTTGGGGAGTGAATCAGCGGATGGAGCATCTTTCTCTCTGTCTCTTCTCCTCTCTGTATATCTGACTTTCTAATAGAGATGAATAAATTTAAAAAAAAAAGTATACAGGGCCCAGCACAATAGCTTAGTGGTTAAAGTTCTTGCCTTGCATGCGCCAGCATCCCATATGGGCGCCGGTTCTGATCCCAGCGGCTCCGCTTCCCATCCAGCTCCCTGTTTGTGGCCTGAGAATGCAGTCAAGGACGGCCCAAAGCCTTGGGACCCTGCACCCGTGTGGGAGACCCGGAAGAGTTCCTGGCCTCTGGCTTCAGATCGGCTCAGCTCCGGCCGTTGCGCTCACTTGGGGAGTGAACCATTGTACAGATCTTCCTCTCTGTCTCTCCTCTCTGTGTATCCGCCTTTCCAATAAAAATAAATAAATCTTAAAAAAAAAAAAAAAGTATGCAGATGTAAGGTGTGCCATCATCCTGCCGGAATCCCACAAGGCCCGGGGCCAGGCAAGCCTCATTTGCTCTTTTTATGCCATTTCCGGCCGGTGAGAGCATGCCGGCCAGATGGCATCCGCCAGCAGGGAGCTGGTGGGCTCATAGCTGACCCCACCATGTCACCTGCCATGGTGCGCCAAACCCCAAGTCTCTCAGGCCCAGGTCGGCATCACGG